AAAAAATATGAGAACACCAGAAAAATTAAATAAGAAACTTAATCACAGCACCTTCTCAGTCGTTTTAACGAAACGTGTGTGTGTGCATATATATATATATATATATATATATATATATATATATATATATATATATATATATATATATATATATATATATATATATATATATATATATATATATATATATATATATATATATATATATTATTTTTTATACGTTATTTTATAGATACAATGTATTTAAGTAAATGTTCTGTTTTAATTAAACACTATTGATTACATTACACCTGGATGTTCGAGAAATTTCAGAAAATATGCGTTCTCCGACAGGAATCGAACTTGTATTCCTTTACGGAAACCGTCATTTGGTCTGACGTGCTGTACTATTTAGCTGCACAGAAGCGTCTAGTTAGAAAGTCCAAATTACTGTTTATAAACACACAATCTTCGACGATTTTTCTCGATCGATATTTTCTGCACACGAAACGTATCGTAACGATAATATATTATGAAATGGAATAAGCCCAACAGTTATTTAATATAAGATACGTTATATATATATATCAAGTATGTGGTGCAGTTCAATTTACATTACATCCAAAAAACAGATATAGAAGTTAATGATATAAATGGCGAGAATACATCTTCGCAAACAAATTTAATAAAGTACATTAACCCCGAACTTGTAGATGAATGTTATGATCCCTGTTTATAAATTCCAGTTGCCTAAAGTTTTTTTTACAAGCTTTTATCTGTTCATAAAGACATCATCAGGTATGGAAATAGATTTGTTTTTGTTTTTTTACTTCTCGGTAATAACAGGACAACGAAAAAATATATGTGTAATCCGAAATATGTTTTAAGAAATGTGTTATTGTTAATTGCAAGAATTTTTTTTTTTTTGGAGCGTACGGTCGCAACGCTGAGTTTGAATTTTTAAACTTTAAGATTGTGCGTTTTTGTACTAATATGGTAATAGAAGAATAGGTTTTTCAGTCAATGTGGCATGTTCAATAAATACAGGAATGTCACAGTTATTATCCGAAAGTTGCACGTTGGATCAGTTATTTTAATATCAAGTATGTGGTGCAGTTCAATTTACATTACATCAATCATTCACACAAAAAACAGATATAGAAGTTAATACATCTTCGCAAACAAATTTAATAAAGTACATTAACCCCGAACATTACAATTAACAATTATGTAGAAATTGTCCGAATGTTCTGTATGTTCGGCTCCTTTCGGCTGTTCTCTTAAGCATTATCGAGGATGATTTTATTTTTACTTTTAACTGAATGTATGAATTTTTTTAGTATGGATTTTAGGCAAGCAGTCTGCAATAAAGTACTCTATATCAAATATAGGGCATTAATAGAATTGAAATAAGTAAAAGTGTGTCACTTAGCTGATTGATGTTACCATCTGCATCCCATATATATATATATATATATATATATATATATATATATGTATGTGTGTGTGTGTGTGTGTGTAAAATGTTCTTTAATCCATACTTAAGCAGCTGTTGTATGGTGAGTATACCGAATGAAAGAAGCCTAGCCATAAATCAAAAATGCGTTTGAAGGATAGTGTGAATATGAAACTATTTAATGCACATTTTTTGATAGATAAGATGGAGATTTAATACTTGATTGAGTTTCGTGGAAGAAGGCGGTTTTATCAAAAGATAAAAAGAGGAATTTCCGAAGGCAATATGAAGTTCACTATTTGAAACTATGTGTAATCTTCGAGAACTAATACGCAATGGGTGCGGTAGATTTTTGCCTCCCTAAAGCGGGGCTAAAAAGTCACCAAAAAAGTCACTATCTTGGAATTTTATTGGTTGCTTGGTTGTTTTTGTTTAGCGGCATATCAAGCTGTGTGGTTAATTTAATGCCGAATTCTAAATATTTTGCACGAAACTTTTTTGAGTGGGGAGATAATAACGGTTTTAGTGATACAAGTTTTACTAATTAACCCATAGCTGGAGGAATATGTGGATTCATACTTTTTCCAATGCTTTACGCGTAAGTAAATGTAAGCAACGCATCTTGAACTCGACTTTCCGATTAATAATTCCGGGTCATTATCCATTACACCAACCGCACATCCAAGCTTACAGGAACCGGTATTCTCAAGCGGTCACCCATCTAGGTACTGATCAGGTTCGATGTTGCTTAACTCCGATGATTGTACAGGAAGTGGTGCGTCAACGTGATATGGCCGTAAGCCTGCTTTAGATTTTGCCATCTGGAGAGTTACTTTATGTAGTGAATGCGACAAGGTGTTGGTGTGTGGAAATATCACCATCAGTAATCCATGTTGATGTTGTCCCTGTTGTCGAAGGCAATTTAATCTGCGTTGCTTGTAGCAGAGAGTGTAAGTCGCTGACTAGGCTCAAAAGTCGCATTCGTGCAACAAACTGGTGAAAACTGTGGAATGCTATGTTAACAAGCGATGGCTCTATTTCGAAACGAAAAAGTAGACGTCATGC